TCACTAAGTCAGAATCCAGGGTGATTTTCTCCCTGGTAAAATATATTTCTAAATCCAATTCTAAATGAGGTTAAATCCATCACCAAAGGACTGGATGTAAACTGTGCAGGGCAGATCATTCAGTTTCTTGTCGATAATCATTTAGAAAGGACAAACTTTGTTTGCATCTGTGTGTGTTTTTCTTCCTGTTTTAAACTACCGTATTTTTCAGAGTATAAGACGCACCTTTTTCCCCCATAAAAAGGGGTGAAAATTTGGGTGCATCTTATACACCGAATGTAGCCCCGCCCACCCACTGGCCCCCATCCTTTGGCCTCTGCCTCCCAGCAATTTACCTCCTTGCAGCAAGCAGCAAGAAGAAACAGCCCATTTCAGCTTCAGCACAGCCTAATTAGCACAAATTGATTGTCTGTTGGATCAGCCTCTCGACTCTCAGCTGTTTCAAGCTGCAGGGATTGCCGTTGCCTATTGCTGTGCGGGCCTCTGCTGCTTGCTGCAAGGAGGTAAATTGCTGGGAGCAGATTTTTTTTTTTCTTGTGCTAATCAACCTATGCTGAAAATGAAAATGAAAGTAAAACAGGCTGTTTGCTGTTTGCTGCAATGAGGCAAAATTGCTGGGAAGCAGAGTTCTTTTTCTTGCTTTCCTCACCAAAAAAGGTAGATGTGTCTTATAGTCCGGAGTGTCTTATACTCTGAAAAATATGGTACATCTTTACTTCTCTGGGAACAGGGCTATGCATCTCCTCCTTCCTTGTATTGCTTTGGCAGGTTTCTTTCCCCCCCCCCCCCATCTGGTCTTCTTTCCTAAGGATTTTTTTTTTCCCCCAAATAAAATCTGTCTGACTGGAAGGAAGAATTGCACTTGCTTCTTAAAGATAAAAGGGACAAGGATTTCCTCCAGCTTTCTTTAACCTTTAAAAAAATCTCACTGCACGTACAGCATGGCTGGGCTATTTTCAGTGCCTCCTTCTCTACTTTGGCACTTCCTAAAATGACCAACAAAAGTGCTATGGTTTTCTCAGTTGCAATGTATGGCTGAGAAAGTTGGACCATCAGGAAGGCTGAGCGCCGAAGAATTGAGGCCTTTGAACTCTGGTGCTGGAGAAGATTCCTGCGAGTCCCTTGGACTGCAAGGCGATCAAACCGGTCAGTCCTAGAGGAGATCAACCCCGGCTGCTCTTTGGAAGGCCAGATCCTGAAGATGAAACTCAAATACTTTGGTCACCTAATGAGAAGGAAGGATTCACTGGAGAAGAGCAAAGTCAGTCGGGAAGCCAGACTCCCTTAACAACCGCATCACTGATCTGACAACCGCAGTGATTCGCTTGACGACCATGGCAAGGAAGGTCGTAAAACGGGAACAAAATTCACTTAGCAACTGTCTTGCTTGGCAGCAGACATTTTTGGGCTCAATCGTGGTCATAGGTTCGAGGATGACCTGTAAAACAGAATTATTGTGGAAAGGCTGTGTTTTGCTTGCAAAGATCCCAGAAGTCACACTGAGAAGCTGCTGCTTCCTTCACTCCATGTCTCTCCACACTCAACCACTTGAACTAGTGGTGGGTTTCAAAATTTTTTACTACCGGTTCTGTGGGTGTGGCTTGGTGGGCATGGCATGGCTTGGTGGGTGTGGCAGGGGAAGGATACTGTAAAATCTCCATTCCTACCCCACTCCAGGGGAAGGATATTGCAAAATCTCCATTTCCTCCCAATCAGCTGGGACTTGGGAGGCAGAGAACAGATGGGGTTGGGGCCAGTCAGAATTTTTACTACAGGTTCTCCGAGCTACTCAAAATTTCCGCTACTGATTCTCCAGAACTGGTCAGAACCTGCTGAAACCCACCTCTGACTTGAACGCTTTAGTGGTTCTTCTGGAAATGTTGTTATTAGTTGCAAAATCGTGTCCGACCCATCGTGACCCCAGGGACAACGTTCCTCCAGGCCTTCCTGTCCTCTACCATCCTCTGGAGTCCATTTAAGCTCACGCCTACTGCTTCAGTGACTCTGTCCAGCCACCTCGTTCTCTACCATCCCCTTCTTCTTTTGCCCTCAATCGTTCCCAGCATTAGGCTTTTCTCCAGTGAGTCCTTCCTTCTCATTAGGTGGCCAAAGTATTTGAATTTCCTCTTCAGGATCTGGCCTTCTAAAGAGCAGTCAGGGTTGATCTCCTCTAGGACTGACCGGTTTGATCGCCTTGCAGTCCAAGGGACTTGCAGAAGTCTTCTCCAGCACCATCGTTCAAAGGCCTCTCAATTCTTCGGTGCTCAGCCTTCCTTATAGTCCAACTTTCCCAGCCATCCATTGCAACTGGGAAAACCATAGCCTTGACTATACGCACTTTTGTTGGCAGGGTGATGCCTCTGCTTTTTAGTGAGTAATTTTTTTTCCGTCCAATAGTGATAGAAAAAAATCCTCTCGTTTGTCTATTTTATTTATATGTTCCAACTGTTTGCTTAAGGCTCTTTCAAAACATTGTTTAAACATCGGGTTTTGCGGGAAGGTGGGGGTGTTTATTCATGCAAACAAAGGAGAGCTTTCCCTAGGACTGTAAACTTAAAAGATCGTCCATATGAGAAAGTAAAGGGGTGAATTTCTTTTGTCTGTTCTTTTAAGGAAAAAAACCACGCTTAGAATACCTCTAAATTTCAAGCCAGAGAAATGTGGTCTTTGTATGTATTACCGGAGCTTTGTTTGCAAATAGTGTTATTACTTGCAATAACTTAATAAATTCCGTTCCCCCTCCGTGGACTTTTCCATAGCTCAAATAAATGATGTTTTATCTTTAATTAAACACCTTGAAGAAATTGCACCAATATTATTCTCCACTAGGCAAGCTCCCTTCGCCCGTCTACCCATTCCAAGTTCTCCCTTACACTCCCCTCACCCCCAAATTAACAGATCCTATTACAGCAGCCCGGATTCATTTTGTAATTATTCTGAAGCTGCTCTTTAGAAAGCCTCCAGTGAAACAGAGTGATCCTTCAGTAGCAAAGATAATTAAAAGCAATAATTCAGTTTGTTAGAGGGTATAAAAATTAGAGCCGTACATCACTGTCTTTATTTAAAAAAAAAAAAGTAATGGTAATGCAACAGATTGTTTATCACAATATCGCCCTATTTAAAAATTAAAATAGCAAATGTTACCTTTTTTTCTCTTAAAGAGAAAGGAACAAAGTGCGTAACAGGCACTACACAACTCTTGCCGAGATGATCTACGAGGTCGGTTATTATAGTCCTGTGTATTGTGAAAAGTATTTAAAAGAAGTTGGGCCTCTCTTTTCTCTCTCTCCAGGATTAGAATAGAATAGAATAGAATGGAATGGAGTGGAGTGGAGTGGAGTGGAGTGGGAAGGGAGGGGAAGGGGAAGGGGAAGGGAAGGGATGGGATGGGATGGGATGGGATGGGATGGGATGGGATGGGATGGGATGGGATGGGATGGGATGGGATGGGATGGGATAGAATAGAATAGGAATAGAATAGAATAGAATAGAATAGAATAGAATAGAATAGAATAGAATAGAATTTTTTATTGGCCAAGTGTGATTGGACACACAAGGAACTTGTCTTGGTGCATACACTCTCAGTGTACATAAAAGAAAAGATACGTTCATCAAGAATCATAAGGTACAACACTTAATGATAGTCATAGGGTACAAATAAGCAACCAGGAAACAATCAATATCAATATAAATCGTAAGGATACAAGCAACAAAGTTACAGTCATACAGTCGTAAGTGGAAGGAAATGGGTGGTGGGAACGATGAGAAGATTAATAGTAATTCAGACTTAGTGAATAGTTTGACAGTGTTGAGGGAATTATTTGTTTAGCAGAGTGATGGCGTTGGAAAAAAACTGTTCTTGTGTCTAGGTGTTTTGGCGTGCAGTGCTCTATAGTGTCGTTTTGAGGGTAGGAGTTGAGAATAATATTATTTCAAATCTAAAATAAACCTGTGGCTGCTTTAAGGATTTACTTGGCCGACGTTAATGCAAGTTTTAAAACAGCCAAGAGGCTGTTTTCTGGCTTAAAAGGAGGAGCTGCTTTAATAGTGGGATTCCCATCATGTCTTATCTGCAGACATAACACACATCTGCACTCATACAAATGACAACCAGGTGGCAGCAAAGAACTCTAATCCTGTACTCCCACCTGGTGGTCATCGGGATTTTTGCAATCCAACCTGTCAATTCTGCACAATCACTTTGTAATGCAGAGGTGTCAAACTCAAGGCCCGCAGGCCGGATCCGGCCTGCCGGGTGCTTAAATCTGGCCCGTGGGGACGCCCTGGAAACAACAAAAGACTGGGCCACAGTACCTCTGCCAGTGAAAAAGGAGGTCAGTAGGGGTGCATAGGGCCCTCCTGAGCTCTGTTTTCAGCTGTGACGGCCTCCTGCAACCCTCTGCTAGCAAAAACGGAGTTCAGGAAGGCCGCACGCAGCCCTCCCGAGCTCCGTTTTTGCTGGCAGAGCGCTCGGCCACCACAGGCATCCCCGACACAAGTGACGACAAGCTGGCCAAGCCCACCCTGGCCATGCCCATCTGGCTCCCTGAGGTCAAACACAACTCTGATGCAGTCTCAATGAAATCGAAATTGACACCAGGGGTGAAATGCTACCGGTTCGGACCAGTTCGACCGAACCAGTAGCGATGGCAGCACGTGGTTCGGAGAACCGGTAGCGGCGGCAGTGCGAGGCTCCACCCACTGGCCCGGGCGCTGTTACTTCCTGGTTTTAACCAGGAAGTAACCTTTTTTGACCCTCTGTGCAGGTGCAGAAGCCTTCTGCGCACGCACAGAGGGTCCAAGCGTGCACGACGTGTGCACTTCTGAACCGGTAGCGAAGGTAAGTAGATTTCAACTCCGATTGACACCCCTGTTGTAAAGTAACGTAAAGTCAATTCTAGTGAATCCCTGGTTCGTAATATTAACCTAAAAGCAAGCCTCGGTGACAGGAAGCTAATAAATGGCCTTTCAAAAGTTCCATGATGGCATTTTCTCTTCAGGTTGGCTGGCAGTTAAAGAATCTGGTCAATGCGTTGCGCGAAGACCCTAACGGCGTGATCTTAACGTTGAAAAAGCGACCTCAGAATACGCTCGTTTCTGCTCCGGCACTTCTCAAGAACGTCAGGTGGAAACCGCTTGCTCTTCAGGTAAGAGATGACCTTGGACGGTGTCTCTGTTGAGTGAACTCTGAAAAATGCATCACTGCCTCTTGTTTTCCGTGTCTCGGGAGTCACCGTCATTAAACAATGGAGTGTAAAGAAACAACAATGGGAGAATTAGGATGATTTAGATCAGACTAGGGTTAACGGTAAGGGGACAGGATTTTCTGCGAAGTTGTTCTATTGTTTTCTTTGAATCTCTTTGTGATTTGTATTTGTTTTATATTTTTGATATGATTCAATGACTAAATCTATTGTCTGTAGAGATTCTCAAGTCATCCAGGTCATGGTTGTTCCAAAGGTGGTTTTTCAAAAGGCAACTTATTTTTCTTTGAAGATGTTTTGCTTCTCTCCCAAGAAGCTTTTTCAGCTAGAATTAGAGCAGAGCAGAGTACAATACGATAAATGCAATGCAATGCAACACAACACAAAGTTGCTTTTTCAAAAGGCAACTGGACTTTATTTTTCTTTGCAGATATCTTGCTTCTCATCCAAGAAACTTCTTCAGCTAAAATAGAGCAGAGCAGAGTACAGTACGATAAATGCAATGCAATACAATACAATACAGTGCAATGCAATGTAATACAATAGAATACAATGCAACACAACACAACACATTTAGTTGCCCCAAAGGTGCTTTTTCAAAAGGCAACTGGACTTTCTTGTGGTTTTTTTTTCCCTCTTGAAGATGTATCGCTTCTCATCCAAGAAGCTTCTTCAGTTCTGGGGGTCAGTAAGGAGTCTATAGAACTGAAGAAGCTTCTTGGATGAGAAAGCAAAACGTCTTCAGGAAAAAACAAAGAAAGTCCAGTTGCCGTTTGGAAAAGCATCTTTGGGACAACCATGGATGACTGAGAATCTCCATAGACAAAGGTAGAGCTAGTACTCTACATTTTGTGCTTCATGCCTAGGCTACCTCACTGTGCTAACAGCCGGAGAGTTTCCCAGATATCCACAGATATCCATAAATATGCCAAAAATATGCTTGGCAGATATATATTTTTTTACTTTAAAGTTCTGGGTGCATCATAATGTGCCTTCCACATTTCCACAACTTGCAGATCTTCCCCTTTATGAACTCCTGTGTTGCACCTTGGAAGGGGTTAGTAATGCACTCAGGGGTGGGCTTCAAAAATTTTAGCAAGGGGTTCTGTGCCTAGTTGCTGGGTGGGTGCGGCTATAGCAGGCATGGCCTAGTCGGCCTCCTCCATCATGGCAGGGGGGTCGTTTTTGCCCTTCCCGGGCTCTGGAGGTTTTCTTTGAGACTCCGGGAGGGTAAAAACGGCCTCCCCAGGCTCCAGGGGCCCTCTGGAGGCTGGAAATGGGCCCGTTTCTGGCCTTCTTGAACTTCCGGTAGGCCTGTTTTTCACCCTCCCCGAGCCTCCCTGAGCCTCTGCACTTACTTGCATCCAAAACAGGCCTTTTGGGGACCCCTGGGAGGGGAGGGGCGGGGTGGGATAGGCCAGCCAGGAGTGGGATTTGGGGGTTCTCCAAACTGCACAGAATCTTAGTTAGAGGTTCTCCCGAACCCTTGCGAACCCCCAGCGCCCCACCCCTGAATGCACTCCTACATTTTACTCAAAAGTTACGTTTCCTTGGGTGCAGGTGGGCATAGGTCTTGAGCCCCAAATGGCTGCAATGAGATTTGAAGGTGGAAGCGCCTTCCTCCCACGCTTAACAGCTGGCTCTATCAGCTCCGGCAATGACCTAGAAATTGAGCGCAATAGGTTTTCTGTTAATCGCCCCTCTGAGAGAAGAAGGCATAAATCTAATGACTTTCTTTTCATATCTTTTTTTTTATTATTATTATTACTGGGATTCCAAATGGAGGAAGAACACAATTACAAGCCGTGCATTTTCTACCAGCTGCCCTTAGCCAACTGAGCCAACTGAGACCTCATTCAAGCCTCTCTCTCTCTGTCTCTTTCTCTCTCTCGAGCAAAATCAATACTATCAAACCATATTATTCTTCTTTTCCATCATATCACAGCGGCTTCTCCCTCCCCTTTCCTTCTAGCTATTCTTTTCCAGGAGAAATTTTAAATCCCTTTTGGATTTCCCCAGCCTGTTTATTTCTCAGGTTTGGAGGCCAAAAGATTATAGAGTTTAAAGACGAATATTATTTATTTGTCAGTATAAAAAAAAACAATCAAAGCAACTGTCATGAATTTGCAGCCGACTGTTGTCCCTGTTAGGTTGCAACGGCATTCAGAAGGATTTGAAAAAGAAAACTCTCAGTGATTTGATAAAGACAGGACTTTTGGTAAATTGAGACCAGCTCTCGCCCACATGGAATTTACTAAGAACATTAAATACAGCATTTTGATCCCAGCTATGTGTCTTTTGTTAGTCAGCCATGACTTTAGAGAAAGATACAATATAATTATAATATAATACACCTAATATTTGCCACCCTTTGCACAATGCTGTAAATGATACTAGGTGTGTACAGTACTGTGCAAGGTTCCAAGACTCAACATTGCCTCCAAAACAGATTAACAGAGTTGGAAGGGACCTTGTAGGTCATCTAGTCCAACCCCCTGTCCAAGCAGGAGACCCTACCCCATTTCTGACAGATGGCAGTCCAGTCTCTTCTTGAAAGCTTCCAGTGATGAAGCTCTCAAAACTTCCGAAGGCAACTTCTGTTCCATGGGTTGATTGCTCTCACTGTCAGAAAGTTCCTCCTTATTTCCAGGTTGAATCTCTCCTTGTTCAGTTACCATCCATTATTCCTTGTCTGGCCTTCGGGTGCTTTGGAAAATAGCTTGACCCCCTTCCTCTCTGTGGCAGCCCCTCAAATATTGGAAGACTGCTATCCTGTCTCCCCTGGTCCTTCTCTTCACTAGACTAGCCATGCCCAGTTCCTGCAACCGTTCATCGTATGTTTTAGCCTCCAGTCCCCTAATCATCTTGGTTGCTCTTCTCTGCACTCTTTCTAGAGTCTCAGCATCTTTTTTTATGTGTGGTGCCCGGGAATTTAGCAGTTATAATCTAGTGAAAAGAAGGACAAATTGTGACATGATAGCAGCCTTCCAATATTTGAGAGGTTGCCACAGAGAAAAGGGAGTCAAACTGTTCTCCAAAACACCAGAAGGCAGGACAACGGATGGTAACTAATCAAGGAGAGAAGCATCCTAGAACTAAGGAGAAATTTCCTAACAGTGAGAACAATTAGCCAGCAGAAGGCTTGCCTTCAGAAGTTGTGGGGGCTCCATCACTGGAGGCTTTTAAGAAGAAACTGGACAATCACTTGTCTGGGATGCTATCGGGTCTCCTGTGTGACCAGGGCTTTGGATTAGAAGACCTCCAGGGTCATTTCCAACTCTGTTATTCTGTTAAGTTGTGGATGCTCCATCACTGGAGATTTTAAAGAAGAGATTGGATAACCATGTATGACATAGGGGTCTCTTGCTTCAGCAGAGGATGGGACTAGAAGACCTTCAAGGTGTTCTGTCCCCGTACCACACACGCACCCCCACAGACGGCCCGGAGTTAATAAGCCACACGACAAAACTCTTTGAAGATAAAGTTGGCAGCAACCCAGTGGCTAGCTGCCAATTCAGACTTTACTCACACAAAACAAAGATTAGACTGTAAGCATTCCGATAAAACAGGCAGAGTTTCAACAATACAAGGATTAATCCAAATGCAGTCCGATAAAGCAGGCAAAGTCCAGTAACGCAGAGATCATGGATTATTTCCAGTTTTTGCTCGTCACAAACTGAACCGGCCACCACACCCACATTTATACCCTGTGGGGTGTGCTCCAGTGACTCAGCTAATCTCTGGCACGCCTTCCCCTCTGCTGCGCACGCTTCTCCCTGCGCCTCTGCCGAGGGTCCAGCCAGCACTTATCTTCTTTGTCGCTGACCACCTGTGGCTGCGGGGATGTGCTTGGCTCTGAGCCTATCGTTTGGCCTTCGGTGTCCTCCGGAGGCATTGCCAGAGAGGAGGGTCCTGGAGAGGGAGGCCTTGCCAACTCCTCTCCCTCACTCTCAGAGTTTGCATCTGTCGATAGCCCAGGCTCAGGCAACAGAGCCACAACACAAGGTCCCTTTCAATACTGTTATTCTGTTTATAGCAAAAAAAAAACCCTCACCTCAAAATTGTTAGATATAGCCCTTAGAGGCTTCAAACCAGTGGTGAAATGTAAAATTTGTTACTACCGGTTTTGTGGGCATGGCTTGTTGGTGGGGGTAATATGCCTGAGTTCGGCTGAAGAGGTTGTAAAAAAAAATGCTTTCAAAGCCTCTGACGATCCCAGCTGACTTGCCTGATCGGCAGAGGCTTTTTTTTTTCTTTTAAAACCATTTTTTTCTATAACCTCTTTGGCTGAAGAGGTTGCAGAAAAAAATGCTTTTAAAAGCCTCTGATGATCCCAGCTGAGCCGTGCGATCATCAGAGGCTTTTTTTTTTTTTTTTACTTTTAAAAGCATTTTTTTCGGCCAAAGAGGTTGTAGAAAAAATCTTTTAAAAATAATTTTTAAAAAGCCTCTGATAATTGCACGGCTCAGCTGGGCAATGGGGGGGGGCAGGGATTTTGCTACCAGTTCTCCGAACCACCCGCCTCCATCGCTACTGGATCGGACGATCCGGTCCGAACCAGGAGCATTTCACCCCTGCTTCAAACTAGCCACTTAACAGTCTTTCTTTATGTGTAAGGAGAAGGTTCTATAATTAGACATCTCTAAGAACAGAATGGCTAGATTCCAAACAACAAAAAGTGATTGTGTTTTCAATTAATTAAATGGATGAAAGTCATTATTACATTATTCAGTTGTATTTAACACCGTGGTGGGAGCCAGCATAGAAACTTTGTTCATTCAATTAAACATTAGTCAATTTTAAAATATTAAATTAAATCAAATCCAATTTGTCGTGGCCTAGACCACTTTGTCCTGGCTTCCCCTCCTTTCAGAAAACACAGACTCTTGCACACCATTCAGAAGTCAAGGGAGGCCTTTTCCCCTGAAAATAATAAGTGGTGG